GAAAATGGAAATTACATACCTAGTATAGTGGGTTGCCTCCCACTCAGCGCGTGTTTAACGTCGCGATCCTGACGGGTATGATCTATTTTACCTCTAATAGAGCAACTGTCAATAGTTGCCTATCCACAGCACTTCCAACATATAACTTCAATCGTTGACCATTGACTGTAAAACTTCTGTCCGAATCCAAAGAACTGATTTCTACATCCCCATATGGTTTCATGTCTTTTACCACAAACGGTCCAGACCATCTAGACTTTAACTTCCCTGGAAACAGCTTCAACCTGGAATTGAACAGAAGTACTTGATCCCCCACCTTGAAATCCCTAGGCGTGATCTTCCTATCATGCCATAACTTTGTCTTTTCTTTATAAAGGCTTGCACTTTCATATGCAGAGAGACGGAACTCATCCAATTCATCCAGCTGTAATAATATTTTCTGTCCCGCTGCTTTGGAATCAAAATTCAGATACCTCACAGCCCACAAAGCCTTGTGCTCCAATCCAACTGGCAAATGGCATGCTTTTCCAAACAGCAACTGAAATGGAGACATCCCAATAAGCGTCTTGAATGCTGTTCGGTATGCCCATAGTGTGTCATCAAGTTTCTTGGACCATTGAGTCCTAGCATTCCCAACAGTCTTCTCCAATATTCTTTTCAATTCCCTGTTGGAAATTTCAACCTGACCACAAGTCTGTGGGTGATACGGAGTGCTTATCTTATGCCTCACTCCATATTTAGCCAGAGCATACTCCACCATCCTATTATCAAAATGAGTTCCCCCATCACTGATTATGGCTCTAGGGACTCCAAATCTTGAAAATATATTCTTTCTCAGAAAAGCAATCACCACCCTGGAATCATTGGTTGGTGTAGCTATGGCCTCAACCCATTTGGACACATAATCAACTGCCACCAATATGTACTTGTTAGAATAGGAAGATGGGAAAGGTCCCATAAAATCCATTCCCCAAACATCAAATATCTCTACCTCCTGTATATTGTTCAAGGGCATCTCATGTCTCTTGGAGATATTTCCAGTCCTTTGGCAGTTGTCACATGCCTCCACAAACTTTTTGGCATCTTTATAAAGAGTGGGCCAATAGAAACCGCTCATCAATACTTTTCCTGCAGTTCTCTCTCCTGCAAAATGCCCACCATATGCAGAACCATGACAATGCCACAACACATCCTTCTGTTCTTCCTCTGGAATACACCGTCTGATCACACTATCTGAACATCTATAGAAAAGATATGGCTCATCCCAAATGTATCTCTTAACATCATGCAGAAATTTCTTCCTCTGTTGCCATGTGAAATCCTTAGGCATCAATCCAGTAGCTTTATAGTTGGCGAAATCAGCAAACCATGGTGGGGTACTGATAGATAAGACTTTATCCCTAACCATCTCTGTGACAGCACATATTGCCAAAACATGTTCATCAGGAAACTCTTCTCTGATCACTACATCCGGTCCTTCTTGAAGCTCTTTTTCTGTAATCCTGGATAAATGATCATCCACCAAGTTTTCAACTCCCTTTTTGTCCTTGATCTCTACCTCAAACTCCTGCAACAGTAACATCCAGCGGAGCAACCTGGGTTTAGCATCCTGCTTGCTTAACAAATACTTTAAAGCTGCATGGTCAGTGTAAACAACAACTTTTGACCCTAGCAGATATGGCCTGGATTTGTCAAATGCATACATAATAGCCAGTAATTCCTTTTCTGTAGTAGCATAATTCTTTTGTGCATCATTTAAGATCTTACTGGCATAGTAAATGACATGCAACAATTTATTCACTCTTTGGCCCAATACCACTCCTACAGCGTAATCACTAGCATCACACATTAATTCAAATGGTAATGAAAAATCAGGTGCCATCATGATAGATGCAGTGGTCAACTTTTCTTTTAAAACATGGAATGCATGCAGACATTCATCATCAAACAGGAACTCTTGGTCCTTGACCAATAACTTGCATAAGGGCTTGGCAATTTTTGAAAAATCTTTTATGAACCGCCTATAAAATCCTACATGACCAAGAAAACTCCTCACACCCTTAACATTAACAGGTGGAGGAAGTTTCTCTATCACAAAAATTTTTGCCCTATCCACTTCTATTCCTGTTCTAGACACCTTGTGTCCAAGAACTATACCTTCTGTCACCATAAAGTGACACTTCTCCCAGTTCAAACCAAATTACAGTCTCGACATCTTTTTAAGACAGAATCTAAGTTTTTTAGACATACATCAAAATCAGACTCAAATACAGAAAAATCATCCACAAATATTTCTATACATTCCTCTACCATATCAGATAAAATGGAAAGCATGCACCTTTGAAAAGTGGCAGGAGTATTGCATAGACCAAAAGGCATCCTCCGATATGCGAAAATTCCATATGGACATGTAAATGCGGTCTTCTCCTGGTCCTCTGGTGCCACAGCTATCTGATTGTACCCTGAATAACCATCCAAGAAACAATAGAAAGCATGTCCTGCCAACCTCTCTAGCATCTGATCCAAGAAAGGAAATGGAAATGATCTTTCCTGGTTGCCTTGTTCAACCTCCAATAGTCAATACACATTCTCCAACCAGTGATTGTCCTTGTGGGAATCGACTCATTATTCTCATTTTTCACCACAGTCATCCCCCCTTTCTTGGGCACTGTCTGCACAGGACTCACCCAAGCACTGTCTGAAATAGGGTAAATCATCCCAGCATCAAGCAACTTCACAACCTCCTTCCTCACTACCTCCTTCATAGTGGGGTTGAGTCTCCTCTGTGGTTGCCTTACTGGTTTGACCTATTCTTCCATCAATATTTTATGGGTGCAGAAGGAAGGATTGATACCCTTGAGATCAGAAAATTGCCAACCAATTGCCAACTTATTCTTCTTAAGTACTTCAATCAACTTTCCTTCTTCCTCATCAGACAACATTGCATTAATGATTGCTGGATATGTTTGATCATCCCCAAGGAACACATACTTCAAATGTGAAGGTAATTCTTTAAGTTCTACCTTAGGTGCTCCTTTTGGAATGTCATCAATCTTCTTCTCAAGCTCTTCCACTTCTGGCTCTTCTTGGTAATCTTCTGTACCTGTCTCTTCTTCTGATCTTTCTTCCTCAACTGGGAATTCTTCTTCTTTATTCACTTCTTCCACTACCTCTTGTATCACATCCAATCTAAAACAATCCCCCACATCAACAGGGTGCTTGATAGTTTCAAATACATCAATTGTGACTGTTTCCTCATCCACCCTTAGCAACAACTTTCCTTGTTCAACATCTATCAAAGATCTTGCAGTTGCTAAAAAGGGTCTTCCTAACAATAGAGGACTTTCTGTATCCTCTTCATCCATGTCAAGAATCACAAAATCCACTGGAAAAATAAACTTGTCTACTTGACCAAGACATATTCAACCACACCTTCAGGCCTCTTGATAGATCTATCTGCAAGATGCAGAATAAGATTGGTCTCCTTCAAAGTGTTGATTCCCAAAGCTCTACATACTGTCAACGACATCAAGTTTATACTGGCTCCCAAATCGTACAATGCCTTTCCCACCTCCACATCTCCTATAGCAATTGAGATACTGAAGCTTCCAGGATCTTTCATTTTTGTTGGAAGCTTCTTCTGGATTAGGGCACTACACTCTACTGTTAGGGCCACTGTCTCACCATCAGTTAATTTCCTCTTCTTAGTAAGAAGATCCTTTATGAACTTTGCATAGTGAGGCATATTTTCCAGTGCTTCAGAAAATGGTATGTTAATTTGTAAATTTTTGAAGATATCCAGAAATCTTGCCTAGTGCTGATTCTGAATCTCTTGCTTCAACCTTTGAGGGTAGGGAACTCTAGCATAGGGAGATAAAATAACTGGCTGTTCTTTCTTGTCAGCCATCTTCTTCTTTTCCCACTTCATCATCTTTTGTGGGGAAGCATTTTTACCAACTTCTACCTCTCCTTCATTCTTATTGTCTTTCCCTTCCTCTTCTTTCTCAATTCCAACTATAACATCTCTAACAACTACTTCCTTCTCACTTTTCTCATTTCTCATCTTCTCTACTTCATCATCAGAGACTACATCTTCAACCACAACCTCTTCTTCATTCTTTTTATTTTCCACATTCTTTTTCACTGGTTGAAGTACCAACCCACTTCTTGTCATAATTTCTTTACAGTGCTCCTTAGGATTCACTAATGTATCACCTGGAAATTTCCCTTGTGGTCTCTCTGATATCTGTCTTGATAATTGACCAATCTGGGTCTCCAAATTTCTAATTGATGCTTCCTGATTTCTGAAAGAAGTTCTGGTCTCCTGCATTAATGCAGCTGTCTCTTCCCTGAATGAATTAGACCCCTGGATATAATCCTGAGTTGTCTTAGATAACTGAGCAAACGATTTCTCCCATGCAGCAGGATCACTTGACTGCTCCTTCATATGTGGTGGTGGAGGATGTAATGGTGGGTTCAATTGATGGTTGGAACTATAGTTGAATCCTGGGTGTTGATTCTTGTTCTTCCATGGTGGCACATAAACATTCCTTCCCTGATTGTTGTAGTTCCTTTGATTATTCTGATCATACCACACTCCATTCACCTCTGCTTGTTCTGGTGATCCCCCATAATCACACTCCTCTGTCACATGGCCTTTGCCACAGATAGCACATACACTCTTGGTTTCCACAGAAGCTACCTTTTGTGAAGAGAGTTGCTTAATAAGGGTATCCAACTGCTGCTATTGTTGTCTCTGTGTCTGCATCAGCTGATCATTCCTTGCCAACAGAGCATCATACTCATCCAACCTGATGATTCCTGTCCTTCTGTCAGCCACTGGGGCATTATCAAATTCCTGAGATGCCAATGACTCAAAGATATCCAAGGCTTCTTGAGGAGTCTTGGTAGTCAATGATCCACCAGCAGTGGCATGCACCAAGGTTCTAGTGTTAGTGGTCATTCCTTGCAGGAAGATTGCTGCTTGTTGCCATGCCTCAATTCCATGCTGTGGACATTTTTTCAACAAAGTCTTGAATCTCTCCCCAAGCCTCATAAATGGATTCTGACTCTTTCTGCTTAAAGCTTGTAATCTCATCCTTCAACTTGGCCCTCTTGGATGCTGAGAAAAACCTCTGCAAGAACTTGGTTTGCAGATCATCCGAAGTTGTTATACTTCCTTGTGGCAATGATTGCAGCTATCTCCTTGCATCATCCGTCAGTGAATGAGTGAATAGTCTCAACAGAATTGCATCTCTTGTGACACCATTTATCTTCACAGTATCACTCAACAACAGAAAGTTCTCTATGTGCAAGTAAGGGTCCTCTGCACTGGTTCCAGCAAACTGATCCTTCTGCACCAAATGTATCAAAGCAGGCTTCAATTCAAAGTTGTTGGGCTCCACTGTTGGGCGCACAACACTCCCAATTGGAGGAATCACTACAGGAGTCATGTACTCTCCCAGTGTCCTCTGTGGTGGTGTTGGTGGTCTGTGATTCTCTGCCATTATCTCTTCCTGATTAACCGTACTGGATTCACCAATTTCTTGCAACTGTCTCCTTTGCCTGGCTGCCCTTTTGTGCTTCCTCAATGTCCTTTCTAATTCTGGATCATACAACAACAAATTCGGATCAAGTGTACCTCGCATATACCAGAATCAAAATTGACCAGAAACTTAACATAAACTAAAATACTGAAAATAAAAGGATTCAATCTCAAAATTCTATGGTATCAGTTAGTGTTGAAAAACAAATTCCCCGGCAACGACGCCAAAAACTTGTTGGACGTTTAGCAAGTGCACTAGTCGTACAAGTAATAAAATGATGAGTAAAGATCGTTCCCACGAGGAATTGTGTTCAAGAACCAATAAACCATAAAAAACTAATTTGAATGAGATAAGAATTTGTAAAAGTCATGAATAATTTGTCACCAGAAAATTGATTGTAAGTAATTTGACACAAAATAAATATGGATTAAGAATTAATAAAACAACAAGTAGTCAGAAAACAACTTTCCTCCATAATAACCCATGTAAAAACTGATCATATGATGAATTCTTTTCCATGTGATGTTAATCAACCTTTTACTTATCATCAAGATGTAATCCCTTACTACCATGATAGATACATTAATCAGAAACCCCAATCCCTTGGTGATCTCTTTCTTAATACATGCATGAAATACTAAAGTCTTAAGATTCCATCAGAACTCTAGCATCAATCCCTTGAGTACTAGAATTTTGATGTTGAGATTATCAGATACAGAAGTCATATAAACATCCCTGTTCTACACTACTTCCTTGATAGAAATAATTAAATCAGAAAATCTCAAATCAACACATGAAAATTACTTCATCATATTAATCATATCAACATAATATTATCATGGAGTTCTATTGCATTCAGACTACAAAGACTCTATTCAGACATGACTAAGGAATAGACAAGAGAAGAAGAATCAAACTTCATTTCCATGTTGACAGTCTTCAATCTCCAAACTATTACAAAGAAATCCTAATACAAAAACTAAAACACTAAGAGAATTTAGAGAGAAGTCAGACTAAAGTTTAAGAGAGAGAGAGAGAGAAAATTCCAGATCCTTTTCTAAGTGTGAAGGCTTTGCCTTTTATAATGTTACAATTAAAAATAGAAAACTGATGTGGGTGCTAAAACGTCCATAAGTGACCGTTTTAGCGTCCATGCTTTACGTATGCTCAACTGCTTTTAACTGACAAAAACGCTAAAACGTTAAGGAATGACCGTTTTAGCGTCCAAACTTGGTGGATGCTCAACTGACTTTAACTGACTCCAACACTAAAACTCTTGATTTGGACGTTTTAGCGGTGGAGACCAGAGTCCTTTCTCCACTTCATGGCGCTAAAACGCTTATTGCAGGCCGTTTTAGCGCCCAAGACCAGCAATTTTCCATCTTCTAAGTGCAGCAGCGTGCTAATACGCTCTGTGTGGGCGTTTTAGCGCTCATCACCAGCAAGTTTTGGCCTCTTCCTGTAGCAGGGCGCTAAAACGCTCAGTGTGGACGTTTTAGCGCTCAACACTTAGGCAATTTTTCTCCTCTTGAGCTCCAGAATCTTCTTCCTTCTCCAGTTTCCTTTCAAGCTTGCTTTTCCTACAAGAATCATACAAATTTTCAATAAAGCTCTTGAACTTGTAATTGAGGACATCTTAGGACATTAACCTTGTTTTTCATCATTTAATCACAGAATTTGATCCTAATTCCTGCTAAAAACCATGATGAACTAAGGGTTCATCAGTTCCCTACAGGATGATCTCCTTGTTGATTTAGGGCGATAGATGGATGGTCTGACTGCTGAGGTTGGGCGCCTTAGTAAAGAAGTTAGTGATGCGAAAGCTTCAACCAAGTCTTTGTTTGGTCAGTTGAAAAAGCGGATGATGAGGTTAAGCAGCTGACCAACGAGAAAGATGACTTGAGTAAGTCGTTGGAAGATTTTAGGAAGAAGAATGAGGTTCTCCTGGCAGAGAAGGAACAACTGTCTTCCAATTTATTTGCTGCGTAGGGGAGCCCCCACGCCAGAGATGAGGACTACAAGGAAGTTGCAGGGCAAGTGGCTAAGCTGGAGGAGGCTCTGGCCAACCTGATGTATCACTCTTTCAACAACGCCCTTCAGCAGGTTGCCGTCAGGTATCCTGATGCTGACTTGACTGTTTTGGATCCTGCTTATGATGTAGAGGGTGGCCAGATTATCGAGCGCCTCGAGGACGATGTCGGTAGAGTGATTGAGACGGCGCCAGAGACTGATGACGACGAAGGTGCACGAGGCATGCTTCCAATGACTGATACTGATAGTGATCAAGTGCAGGATGATGATGGGCGCGTCAGGTCGGCTTAGCCTGTTGTGACGGGTGGGGGTAATGTTGTCGGCGCGGCTTCTTCTGAGCAGGTGATGAATGTTCAAGTTCAAGCGGTGGTCGCTCCGGAAATTGAGAAGGATGTGACCGATTAGGCTAACTCTTAGGACTTAGATTTTCTTTTTTCCTTTTTTGCTGTGGTTGGCATGTCGACCGCGGTCTTGTACTTTTTAAAGTATCAATGAATTTCCTTTTCTAGCTTCAACGTCTTAAGAACTTTGCTATTAATGAATTTCCTTAAGTTAGGTGAGCGTTGACCGGGGGTGAGTATCATCCCAATCCCACTATGGCGGGGGTGAGAATCGTCCCTTTAGTTCGGCGTTGGCTGGGGGTGAGGACCATCCCAGTCTAACTATGGCAGGGGTGAGAACCGTCCCGTTAGTTGGGCGTTGGCTGGGGGTGAAGACCAACTATGGCAGGGGTGAGAACCGTCCCTTTAGTTGGGCGTTGGCTGGGGGTGAGGACCATCCCAGTCCAACTATGGCGGGGGTGAGAACCGTCCCTTTAGTTGGGCGTTGGCTGGGGGTGAGGACCATCCCAGTCCAACTATGGCAGGGGTGAGAACCGTCCTGCTAATTGGGCTTTAATTTGACATTGTTGACGAATTTGCAATCAATTTATTGAAAGTTTGTAACTCTGCCTCATTAAAAACCTTTCCCAGTAAAACCCATGGGGATAAAAACATGGAAATGGAAAAGAGCGTAGATGGTATTACATGATGATTTAGCTATAATATTTCTTGAGCTTGTCAGCGTTCCATGCCCGTGGCATCGCCCTTCCATCCAGCGTTTCGAGGGAGTAAGCGCCTTGTCCTAGTTTGTTGGTTATTCGGTAAGGTCCCTCCCAATTTGGGGCGAGTTTACCTTCACGGGCGTTCTTCTTTCCGACGTCTGCTCTTTGAAGCACCAAATCTTTTTCTTGAAAATTCATGGGAATGACTTTCTTGTTGTAATAAGTAGCTGACTTTTCTTTTGACAGTTGATCGGACTGGGCCGCACATCCTCTGAGCTCGTCAAGCAAATCTAACTTTTCTTTCAGGTTCTGGATGTTGGCTATCTCAGTCACGTGCTCTCGTTGCCAAGAAGGTTCACCGATCTCTACCGGGATCATGGCTTCAGAGCCGTAGGTTAGTCTGAACGGTGTTTCTCTAGTGGATGACTGGGCGGTTGTCCTATATCCCCATAAGACGTTGTCTAGATTATCTATCCAGGCCGCTTTATGTGCTTCCAACTTCTTCTTAATTCCTTTACTCAGCATTTTGTTGGCTGATTCTACTAAGCCATTGGATTGAGGGTGTTCAACTGCGGCAAAGTGATGCTGGATCTGTAGGCTGTTCATTAGTTCACGGAATTTGGCGTCAGTGAATTGAGTGCCGTTGTCTGTAATGACTTCCCCTGGAATGCCAAAGCGGTAGACAATACTACGCCAAAAGAACCTTCTTGCTTTCTGGGATGTAATGGTGGCCAAGGGTTCTACCCATCTGGTGAAGTAATCTATGGCGACGATCAACCACTGAACTCGCCCAGCTGCCATTGGGAAAGGGCCTAGAATGTCAATTCCCCGTTTGTAGAAAGGCCATAGCGAGGTGATTGACGTCAATTCTTCAGGCGGAGCTTTGTGTATATCGGCGAACCTCTGATATTGCTCACATTTTTTGACGTGTTCTCGGGCGTCGTGCTCCATAGTTGGCCAATAAAATCCCGCTCTTAATGCCTTCTTTACTAGCGAGTGACTGCCCATATGGTGGTCGTTGATTCCTTCATGGATTTCTTCTAGCACATACTGGACAACCTCCGTATTCAAACACTTCAGGAGTGGGGTGGAGAGTCCTCGCTTGTATAACCGCCCTTGCACTATGCAGAAATGAGAACTTTTTCGGACAATTTTCCTGGCTTCTTTTTGGTCAGGAGGAACAATCCCTTCAGCTAAGTAGTTGATAATGGGCGTGATCCAGGTTCTTTCTGCTGCTTCGGGGGCCGGCGACGAGATGCTCATGACTATGCACGGGTTTGGCATATTGTGCTGGATGACGGACCGGTTGTTGCCTGGGCTTTTGGTGCTGGCCAGTTTGGCGAGAATATCTGCCCGTGTATTTTCAGCACGCCTAATGTGCTCTACCTCGACACTTTCGAAACTCTGAATTAGTTCTTTGACTTTTTCTAGATATTTGCACACCAGAGGTCCTTTGGTCTAATATTCCCCGGATATTTGAAACGTCACC